AGCGCAGCACTGCCAGTTCTCGCACCAAGCAGCCATTGAAAATATGCTAGCGTGTTAGCTTGAGGTGAGGTGGGCTGGAGCTTTTGCCTCGAGGGACCTTTGTCCATACTTGCATTACAGCTCCCTCACGTGCCCTGTAGAGGTGTCCGGAGTGATGTCACCATCTGGCTCCCGGCACCTTTACAGGGAGTGCAAGGGAGTTGTACAAGTAACGCACATATGGATGGATCTCCATCACGGCACAGCAGCCCACACTGGACCCCAGGCTGAGGATCCATTTTATTTCTCGTAAGGTAGGGAGACGGGGTGGATCTTTAAAAAATGTTTTATAAATATATATTTTTTTGCAGTGTGTATGTGTGTGAGGTCGTCTGTGGTTGGGTGCGTCTGTCAGTGTTTTTGAGGGCCCGTTCACACTAGTACACTGCGTTAATCGAACAGTCCTGTGCAACTACTGCACCATACCACGTAAACGCACCTACTCTGAATTCCGGTGTGTTGTGTTATTCTTTTGAATAGCACTCCCGCAACGGAACGCGCTATACCGCAATGCTGTGCGTTCCATTGCAGTGCGACTTGGGTCGCAACTTAACGACCAAGGACAAATGTGGGTCCTGAGGTTACAGTTTGAGAACCGCTGCTTTAGATAACACTCCAGCATCTACCCAACATTGAAATCTCAGCCCTGGTTGGAGCGACATGGCTCGGAAGGTAATGCTCTATCACAACCGATATTTGATGGGTGGATGTGAATGCTTAATGTGTGACCTCTGTATACAGGACTATGACACCAGCGTACCTAACTGGGAGTTTGGAAAGATGATTAAGGAATTCCGAGCCACCCTGGACTGCCAGCGGATCAGTATGACAGATCTGGTAAGTGGCTAAGATTGCTATGACAATTGGGACAGTGATGCAGGCAAATGGGTGGTATGACCATTATGTTTGCAGATCTTAAAGGACATTGCAAAAGTGACGGTACCTTTCGATGGCTCACACCTGCAACAGGGAGGCGCTGTTGATTTGGGGTGGAGCCACGCTATCGGGAGGCTGTCGATTTGACTTGGTGTCTCTAAATCAGGGATCCTTAGAATTTTGCCGGGGTTCCCAAAGACCCACAAGCAATTATATCTGCAGCTCCGGGGTACATTGGTGTGAACGGTAAGAGAATAAAGAATGTAGCCGACTTGGAGGAACTTTACCCATAACTTCAAAATATCAAAGGCACCTTTTTTAGAAATTTTTAGCGACTTAACATCTACAGATCCCTATAGACAATTGCCGGCTTTAAATTTTTGCAGTCCTTGTTGTTGTTTTTTTTTTTTTTTCCCCCTCCCCATTCTTCTCACAGCAGCCATTTCATATTTGTACTAGGGACAGAATAATATCTCTCCCTTTACTTCCTGGAATACTGGCACATGTGACTAGGACATGTGACCATGCACATCGTGTCAGGGGAAGGAAATGCCTTTCCCTGAGATCTTGTGAGAACCCAGCAATGCTCTGCTGATGTCACCTTCCCAGCATGCAATGCTTGGGCACGATTACATTTGTTGCAAAGAGAACTAGGAAATGGGAAAATGAGTAACGGTAAAATATTTTTTATGAATAGAAGAGGATTTCATATCAACATGCAGAGCTTTATGCCGATGTGATTTTTAGCCAAAGGGGCTATAGGTCCACTTTAAAGTATTTGATACCCAGGACTGCTGTATGTAGCATTTGGGAGAAGGGCCCCAGTGCACTGAAGGCCAGTGGGAGGAATGTCACTCTTATAAATAAAAATGATTGGTGTCAGTGATGACGTATCGGAGGCAAAAAAAATGCTCGTTGCCCAAGAAACCTCCAACTACCTCTGGAGGAACCCTCCATGAAACCTTGATTTAGGAGGCTGCAATGAGTCTCAAAACAAGTGTAAGTGAGCGTAAAAGTATTTAAAGTGACATTAACCACCTCCGGGCCGGCCGTAGTAAAAAAACGGCCGGCCCGAGCTCTCTAGATCTGAGCGGGCGTCTTTAGACGTCCGCTCAGACACGCCCCCCC